TCCCAATCACAAAGTCGAGGTCAAGCGACCGAGCCTTTTCACTCCGAGAAGACGGGCACAGATCCTCTACCAGCTGCTGTAACATCAGGACTATGGCAGCGTTGAAAATGAAGTGAAGACCAGCTTGAAGCAGCTTTCGAGGATGGTTGACAAGTAGGATCTGTCGAGCGAGCTGAATATTGTGTTCTGCCGATGTTATACATCGCTTCAGTAGAGGGAGTTGTGGGTGTGAACTCAAGGAACATTGCCGCGAGACCAGCTTTTCTGCAAATGATTTCTTGACCAAGGCGAAGAAAACGGGGCGGATAGTCAAGATTATCAACTAAAGGACATGTTAGCCTAACCCCCAAAAATGGAAAATGGAGAAATTACCTGGTTGTAGTGCATGTGCAGCAAGCAAGTGGCTGGGTCATCGCTCAGGCCGTTGCTTGCGAGTTGCACCGTAGGTGGGAGTTTCAGACACCACTCGTCGAGCATACTGATCTCCCCTTCGAGGCTTCTCACAGGTCTTGCGGCGTCTTCTGACGGGGAAATGCGATACGTGTTGCACACGATATGGCATGATATCCGTGAAAGCTCGACATGAGCTTTGAGACCATCTGCTGGAGGCATAGACCTATCGAATGGAGTCAGCCAGAGCGAAGGAGCATAGATGGGGGGAACCTACGGAGCATCGCAAGGGAGGGGTAATCGAATTGCGTCGTCCATGATGGTTGGGGGTCTCCCCATGAGGCAGCTTAAATAGCGATCCAATACATACAGTGTCCAGAACACGCGTTTGCCACTCTCGTCAAGCCAGCCCCTATGTGCGCCGTGCATGATGCTGATATGCATAGCGTTGCTCACGCAGATATATGCGGCATCACGGCGGTTCATCTCTATCAGGTAGAACCCCATCAGTGTCAGCACCGATACTTCGTTGGGCGTAAAGCGTGTAATGTCAAGCGGGTTCCCTAGGAGCATACGGGCCCGGCTGAAGTAGTTCTCACTGAGATGAGGGTCTATAGAGATATCCTGGGGCGGCATGATCATAGCTTGAGATACCACAGCAAATGCTGTCTGATAGAAAGCCAAATGACGGCACTTGGCCAGACGCAAGTTTGCTGAGTCTCGTTCCATGGAGGGGATTGTCGGTGGTGAAGAGAGATCCCCCCACCAGTAGATTCCTCCGCTTGGCCATTGGCAGTTACCGTCTTGGATGAAATAACGAAGCTCGGATAACATCGAGTCCATCTCTGGGGGTGTAGGAAACCATGTCGGATCAACGTCTCGATCATGCAAAGGTCGCGAGTCGTAGGTCTGGTAACGACCAAGACTTGATAAAAACGCACTTCCATCAGAACCTGGACGCAGATTTTGATATGCAAGAGGCAGAACTGTAGTCATGAATTCCTTCAAGTAGTCGAGGAAAGTTGCGCCACTGGTCTCACCCAAGAAACGAGCATAGCCGTCAGGGTCATGCAACAGGCGACCCTCGGTTGAGACCAAGTTCTCTTCGTCATCCTGCCGGTTTTGAGGCGTCGCCCCGGGATGTGATAGCTGGATAGAATGTGTTCGAGATAGTCCATAGCTGGGTTCCTGTATTCGAGTATCTGATAGCTGAGCTTGAAGATGAAGATGGGGCGGTTGTTGTTGGAATTGTCGATGTATACTGGGATACTGGAGCTGAGGAAGCTCAGGAGGCACTCGCCCGATATGCGCTGTTGCATCTATCGTTGGCGTTGTCTGTGCCGCTAGACTAACGGCCGATGATCCAATGTCATGGCTAGAGGCGGTCCGACCAAGCAAATCCGAAAGTTCTTGGCGACTTGCAGAATCCGGGATGGCGTTTGATACGGCTGCTGGAACAGTGTCTCGAAGAGCCCGCTCATAGAGAACGGCCTTGTGTTTCAAATCCTCGAGCTCTGAGCGCGTGATGCTCACCTTCTCAACAGGCTGAGGATATATGCAGTCGCGTGAAGAGGATTGACATTGGCGACACGGGTGCTCACCAGAGCATCTGACTCTTCTCACATTGCAAGCATTGCACCTTTTCAGCAAGACATGTGTTAGATAAGACGTGAGCTGTTTTATGATGATATGATTGATAAGTCAGTGACTTGAGGGGGACCTCAGTCAAGCTTGACATCTGCCGAAACGCAGGAATAATTGAGCATAATTGAAGTGAAATTGAAGTATCGATAGATGGTACATAAAAGAAGATCGATACAAACAGGCCCATCGCAGGATATATCGATTGATTGAATAGTAGCTACAGTAGTGTGGTACTGTAGACGGGTAGACACATGGGAAACTAATCAACTTACGCTGTAGCGACACGCTTGCGATGCTCGGGAGCAACCTTGTGCCGGCGGGGATTGACAGGAAGCCGTCGCGGATTATGGGCGGCAGAGGCAGAAACAGAAACAGAGAGGGAAGCCCGAGGTCGAGCCGATCGTGGTCCAGGTGCATTCGTAGTTGCAGTTGGGCCAGAGTCGTCGGCGGGCTGCTTCATGGCTTAGTCGTTGGTGAGTTTCCGTTTCCAAGAGGAGAACACTCGTCGTTTACTCTCAGAGACTGAGAACCAGTCAGCCCCTGCCTGGTAGAACCTACCAAGAGTGAGTGCTGCTACCAGTGCTAGGTTAGTACTGTATGTACAGTACCACTTTAGGGGCCGCCGCTCAGAAAAGATGGCATTGGATGTCGATGTCCCCCACCCGAAAGGATTCTCAGTTTCTCACAATGTGCAACCGTTGGTGCGGAAATTTGGGAGGGAAGCCGGAATCAGTCAATCAATTATGGAGAGTTCATATCGCCAAAAATATCACCTAGACCTGGATCGCCTCGCTTGCGGCACGGTTCGTTGAACCCTGCAGACTATTTATTTCGACTGAGCGTTCCGCTCCGCTCTACTCTGGCCTGCCTACGGCACTGGCCCGAGCAACAAGGCCTGCACAGACTCGACTCTGATTTTAACTTCTCTTCATGGCTTTTCTCTCCAAAGAAGAACACTCTCAGACCTCTCGGTTGGTATGCCCGTTGTGTGTGTGTGTGTGTGTGTGTGTGTGTGTGTGTGTGTGTGTGTGTGTGTGTGTGTGTGTGTGTGTGTGTGTGTGTGTGTGTGTGTGTGTGTGTGTGTGTGTGTGTGTGTGTGTGTGTGTGTGTGTGTGTGTGTGTGTGTGTGTGTGTGTGTGTGTGTGTGTGTGTGTGTGTGTGTGTGTGTGTGTGTGTGTGTGTGTGTGTGTGTGTGTGTGTGTGTGTGTGTGTGTGTGTGTGTGTGTGTGTGTGTGTGTGTGTGTGTGTGTGTGTGTGTGTGTGTGTGTGTGTGTGTGTGTGTGTGTGTGTGTGTGTGTGTGTGTGTGTGTGTGTGTGTGTGTGTGTGTGTGTGTGTGTGTGTGTGTGTGTGTGTGTGTGTGTGTGTGTGTGTGTGTGTGTGTGTGTGTGTGTGTGTGTGTGTGTGTGTGTGTGTGTGTGTGTGTGTGTGTGTGTGTGTGTGTGTGTGTGTGTGTGTGTGTGTGTGTGTGTGTGTGTGTGTGTGTGTGTGTGTGTGTGTGTGTGTGTGTGTGTGTGTGTATTATCAATGCGCATGCTGACACATGGTTGATCTCTCTGTCTCTGTTTGAACAACTCCAACGCTAAGCCGAGGTAGTACTCCTTTTAACCTGCATGGAATAAGACGGAACAAAGTCGCTTCGACAAGGGCTTGCAACCTTGTCAGCTTCATCTCGAGACTCGACCGTTGATTGCTTACAAAAGCAAAACTCTTTACCTCCTGCACAAAACTCAACAGGGGAACTCGTTGATGAGTGTCGGTATGTAGCAGTGATGTTGTTGGGCTCTGTCCTTGACACATTGCTACCACCCATGCTTAGGCCTCTTTATGCGTGCCGAAAAAGAAGAAGAGAAAAAAAAAAAGACGACAACCCTTGTCGTAAAAGATCTTGGCATATATTCTTTGCATTTTTTTTACGTTGCTAGTCTGTCTTGCATCTGTGGGCAGCTAACTATACGATGTCGTAGACCAGAAAGGAAGAGAATCTGCTCTTCAGCAAGTGGGTGTGTAGCCAAATGCTGGGATGGCCGGCCCGCCTCTGCATGGCATCTCGACAGCGTGAAGCTTTTACTGCGGTCTTTCCGAGATATGAAAGAATGACTCAACACCAGCGAGTCAATTTGTCAGTCTCGAGTGAAAGCATGGGGGGCCTCGCTATCGGAGCAAATTGTAAGAGGCCCGTTCAAGCACAAGCATGTCATGCGCTTCCATACAGTCCTCACAGCTCTGCCTAAAAGATGATATTGCTGGCCGGGCGATTCCCATCGTCATTGCCAATTGCAGAGGCGCACTCCGTTTGGTGTAACGGAGATACTACGTTTAACGGTCAATAACAACACTTGGTGCAGTGCTGGCCAAGAGCTATGAAGTCATCCCGAGTACTGAATCTTACAGCAGCTAGCCCACTAGGGAGCAACATTGGAAATCAGAAACACAAAACGGGCAGTCGGTAGACTGGCGTTCGTGAACTTGGTGACTTGCAGTGTGATGCCGACTTATATCGGGTCGTGCTAAGCCCTTCATATTAGGCGCAGTACCCGAGAAGCGGCCCGAAACAGTGCGTTGAAAATGTGGCAACTGGAATAAGCTTAAGGAGACATGTCAAAAATGGAGAGTTGCGACCTCATATCAAGAATAGCCTCGATACTGAGATGTGACAATGGTTGCATGGCACACAGAGAATGGAAATTGGAGATTGTAAATAGGTACTTTTTCAATGCCGTGGTGCGACTATAACAAAATCTACAGAACACCAAAAGGAATAACTGAAATCCAACTTTTGTCTCCTAATTCGCAGTACGTACTGTAAACGATAATGACGATAACTAATAGCAAATACCAAAGGATATAGTAAATAAAAAATGACTTAAGCGGCAAGACTGCTATTTTCAGTCCAGTCAGCTATTTTCGCTGCCCTTGCAACCCCATTACAAACGTAGGTATCCATTCATTCGTGCTGTCATAACATTTATTGCTTGAAAATAGATTGAACAATCTCGCCTGAGCGAGTGCCCAGGACAGAGAGGAGGGTGTCACTCAGCTAGAGACAATGTTAGTGACTATCGATCGAATAAACATGACCAATTCACGGTAGATCACTTACCCCGTGAGTACCCTCGCAGCAGCCCTGCAGCCAGACGCCAGAGTCGTCGGCAACAGTGCCAGGAGAGAACTTGACTCGGTAATCCCTCCCGACGGCCAGTTTGCGCTCGCCATCTTGTGTCTCGACGTTCCAGCCGTTGACGCCCTTGGGGGACTCGTTACGTCCTGATACAGTCTTGGGGAGAATTGTCCATGCGTCCTTGAGCATGTCGACGTGAGCGCTTCGCTTGTAACCGGTGGCAGCAACGATCAGATCAACTTCAAAAGTCTCCTGGTCGACGAAGCCATCGAGAGGACCATCGTTCACGCGCTGGACCTTGATCTCGAGAGCGTCGCCCTTGGTGTCGACGCTGGCAATCTCACGGCCAGCGAGAATTCTGTGGGGCCACTGTGTCTCATCGTCGCTGATCTCACGCTTCTGGTCGTACATCTTCTCGAAGAGGTGCTCAATGAGCTCCAGGCGAACAACACCGTAGTTGGTGGCGCGAGCCTCGGTCAAAAGAGTCTCACGAGCCTTAACAGATCGTGGCCACAAGTTGTCAATGTACTCGGGGTTGAAGATGGAGTTGACGCTGTACGTGATCGTCAGCAGGGGTTCCTATAATGGTCGACTGTGTACAACTTACAATGGAGAGTCATCACTCGGGCGTAGGAACTCCTGACGCATGATGAGGTAGGTTTTAGAGTTGGGGTACAGGTTCTGGACGTTGTTGAAGATCTCGGCGGCGCTCTGGCCAGCACCGATAACAGCAACGCGGTAAGGAGCGTTCTGCTTGGCTAGGATCTGAGGGGCGTAGTTGGCGAATTGAGAAGAGTGCAGGACACGAGGGTGTTTAGCAGGGAGGCTCTTGGGGAGCGAAGGCTGGCCACCAGCAGCAACGAGAACGTGACGGCTGCGGAAAGATTGGACCTGACCAGTCTTGCCGTTGCGAGCCTGAACGGTAAAAGTCTTGACGGCACCGGCCACTTTGCTCTCGGGGGAGATAGAGAGAACCTCGTTGTTGTAGCTCACAACGTGGTCAAACCAAGAAGAGCACCAGCGAAGGTAGTCCTCGTATTCAGTACGGGCAGGGAGGAAAGTGCTCAAGTTGGTAAAGTCAACGAGACGACCCTGGCGGTGGAGGTAGTTAAGGAAAGTAAACTCAGATCGGGGGTTGCGAAGAGTGGCCAGATCCTTGATGAAGGAGATTTGCATCTTGGCTCCTGGGAGCAGCATACCGGCGTGCCAAGCGAACTTGGCCTGCTTCTCCAGGAAAAGAACTTTGGGAGCTGCGCCATCAGGGCGAAGCTTCTTGCCCTCGGCGATGGCATCGTGAATAGCGACGGCTACAGCCAAAGATGCGGGGCCGAAACCAGCGCAGATGAGGTCAAACTCAGAATCTGCGGGAGCGGACTCGAGATAAGGAGATCTCTCCTTGTGAACTCGGGGCCCATGGCGGGCAGCAGGGGCAGCTCCGTTTCCGTTGCTGCTACCGTTGCCGTTGACATGGCCGTTGTGGCCGTTAGTAATGCCGTTGGTGCCATTTGTGCCGTTGTGACCGTTGGTGGTTCCGTTGGAGACTGGGGCCTCGGAGCCGTTGAATGAAACCTCGCTGTGGGGTGACATGATGACTGATTGCTGTTGAAGAGGGGTATATGTCTAAAATTATAATAGAATCTTGAATGCGGGCTAAATTTTATAGCACAAACTTTGTGTCTATAAGATTTGGCGTATTCAAAGTCGTGACGTGTGAGAAACCGGGAAGAGGTCCACCAAGTGAATGGGAGACTGTGAGGAATAAGTCCGGTTTGCAGCAGCTCTCATTCCTTCCTGAGAATCAGGTATTACCCAATCTGGTCAATATGGTGCACAGATTGGAGAATTGATGCAGATGAGCTTCATATAATGGATAAAAGGTTGAATGAGGCTTCCAATGTCCGGATTGTCGTAGAGGCAAAAGTGACACTATCAGGGTCTAGCTCTGATGAAGAGATAGGTTAAAGAGCTTTAGGTAGTACCACCGAGGCTTGGGAGAAGCTTCGTCAATGAAGATAGAAAGAATAGAAGAACGGAGTAGTTCCGAGAGACGGGGGAGATATGGCATTTTGTAGTTCAGACGGGGATGGGATCTACAAGCTATTTCCTCGGTCCCATATTGCGTGCCATATTCTTATTCGGAGTCAAACTAAGCTACAGACCCTCAAAAGAAGCAAGCAAGAAAGTACAGTAGAGTACATACAAGCTCACGGCGAAGCTATAGTCGAGCGAGGTACACTGCATTACACGACGAGACGCCTGCTGGCGCTGGACTCACCTCATTAGGTACTTACAGGGAGGAGGCGGATACGAGTACATGGAGAACCTCCATGGCTAATACAACCTCGTCAAGCTCGTACGTACATACTTGGGGAGGTACATTTGCGATGGAGCCATGATACATAAAAACCATCCATGATGGAGACACTACTATACTGAGCCGGGAAGAACACAACTAGCTAGCTCACTGGAGACTGGGCTTTGGCTCCCAGTGCCGGTCATCCTGGGCTGGGCTGGGCTGGGCCGAGCACGGCGGCCAAGCCAAGGCGTGGAACCGCGGTTGCCAAGCAAGCAAGCAAGCAAAAAGCATAGCGAGCGGCAGAATGGAAGCCGGGTCAGGCCAGAAATTCAACAGAACGTGAATGAGAATGGTGACGGAATCCATTGCTGTTAACGTCAGTCAACGTGACTCTGGTTAGTAGGTAGTGAATGAGACCAGGACTAAGCCCAAGCCTAGGCCCTGTAGAGGGTGGGATCGGGAAATGGTGGGGGGTGGGCTGAATGCCCTGCTGCAGAGAAAACACCAACCTTTTCGAGCTTTAGCTTGGAGGGGTCCTGTAAGCCATTTTGGGCTTCAAATTTTTGAAATGTTTTCGTGACTGTTTCAGTTTCTATGTTGAAGCTTCGCCTGTGTTGGACCTCGTGAAGTGGGAGAGCGAGCATAGCACTCATATTCCAAACCTGCAATACTTTCATCGTACCGAACTCTCAGGACTCATGTTGGCCCTCGATCAACTGAAGTTGCGGTCGCCATAAGAGTGTTCCAGAGACATAACTAGACGCAGCATGGTTACAGGATTGCCTCATGCAGGCCCCCCGTCTGGGCTGGGTTCCAATGGTTGTGTCAAAACTTCAAAGGCTCTGTCAGGCGCTGCAGGATGGGCGACACGATTCAACAAGACGACAGGCTAGGCCAGTCATCGAACTGCAAGGGATGGAAAATGGATGGAAAATGTCGCGCAGTTAATGGCTCTGCGGCCTAATCCTCCACGTCCATGGCCGCGGCGTGCCTCGTGGACCCTGCTCGTGGGACTTCATCAACGCCGTGAAGTTCCGTAGCGCATGAGTGAGCTTCGAGGCGCCACTGCCCACTCATCATCTCCGAGCAGAATCACACTGGCTTGCGGGTCTAACGAGAGCTTCCCAGCTAGCCAACCCGTCACAAGCCCCCAGCGTGGAGGGACCCTCCAGGGATGCGTGGCGGCGTGGGCTGAGTCCGGCACTCGAGGTTGAATGAGGAAACGATGGGCATCAAATGGGCAGAGGAAAAGACCATGACCAGGGGTCGAAGCATGTTCACAGGATACCCATACTCGTGGGTGAAGCTCAAGCAAAGTTTGTTTTTAGTTTATTGACGGACGATGGTGATCAGTCTTGGAACCTTCCTATATGGACGAATGCCGTAAAAGCTTAGGCCTTTCGCGAATGGCGATCGATGAATGTTGACATCTCTTTAAATCGAGAGTCTGATATGTGTGCCAATTCCTCGGCTTGAGAAGTCCTCTAGTTCGACCTCATCTAGATTCAGCAGGCTCGAACTACTCTTTGACCCATGCTCTCCTCCGAACCCTCGACTTCTACAATGTTCTACCCGGTGTTTTTCTTCAGCGGAATGTTTACAGGCGGGGTGTTTATGGCCACATGCGTCTCAAGACGGTGGCAGGAGGAAGTGGAGGTTCTTTAAAATCGAGCAAACTAACCAAGGATCCCCAGTAAAGAAGCGTAGGTATGGACGAATATGATGCGACGTCGGCGATGATCTTTGGTAAAAGATCAGATAAGATAGACATGGCAAAACAGCGAGCAAGCTTGGCGAACTCTGTAAAGGTTGACGCCGCTGAGCAAGGATCAGACGGCCTTACTACTGGAAATATGCTTGCCATCCCAGCTGGTGTCACAAAAGGTGGAAGCAGCCGCAGTTCAAAGTCCAGTTCATTGCTTGCTAACTGGGCAGATGCAGACCCTTGAAGACGCTACGCAATTTTGTTCCGTGGGATCGAGGCATGGGTTCGAAACGTCCAGTCTCGCCTGGGCCGATGACGGCTTTCTGCAGCCCCACCACCCAAACTCTTCCACACCGTTCAGACACGACGTCAATGCCATGGGTTGAGGGCAGAGAAAATCTTGGCCAGCACAGGCACAGGAACGCACAGAGTGCGGCGGAGAACGGTTTTGGTTTGACGGCGCCCACGCCAGAAGAGCCGATCACTCGAGCCTCGCAATGTCGTTCGACGAAAAGGAGGGGCAGTCCCGCAGAGAAGATGGAAGGTGGTTGGCAAAATACTAATGATTGGAGTGCTGATGGGCGGCGAATACCTCGGGCTCCATTATGGAGATGAGGGAATTATCTGATGATCTGATAAACCGGATCTGATAAGATCTAATTAGCCAGCTTACAGTAGCGTCGCGCACCAAGCTCGAGTTGACTGGTTACCGACCTCCGAGCGGCCCAGGGGTCTTTTAGCACCAGATGGCCCCTAGTGCTTGTGCTCGCAACCTAACCCCTGCAACAATTATGTTGTGTTTTTTCTTCTTGGGGACAGGTACCGACCGAATGAGCGTGAGCAGGCGGAGGGCAATTGGGAATGGAAGAAAAATTTTCTTCTCTGGTGAACGGAAGCTTATCCCTGTTGGACCAAGGCACAGGCTTCTTGACCTATAAGCGCAAGCCCTTGGCGTCGAATCTCCATCGATTGATGAGCTGTCTAGAGCTGCATTTGCTAACAGGGTCCTACGCCTCTGGGAGATAATCGGGCTAGCGGGTAATAATTTTGCAGAGGGCCATCGATTGACTGATCGATTAGATGCAAATGCACCGGAGAAGGCTTCTCAGACCGAACGGTGCTTTCCGATGTAATCCATACAGCTGGGATACGCCAGCATCGATGTTGCAACGACAGAAATCATGGAGAGCAGATATGCAACCATGGGACGACACGACTCTGGGAATACCCGTAGTATGGCTCGATATGATCGGCAAAACCGTAAGATGATGCCAATTGCGGGTGACAATGTTGCTTTTTCTTCGCCCTGTTGGACCCCTGTTTTCGTGATACTTTTCCGTGCTGTGATCTAGAACACCAAACAAGCCAACGCTCCGGCAGTATCTGGTCTCACGGTTGGTTCGTACATCAAAGGATCTCGTACCCGTTTGCGATCTTGTGTCCGAGGGTCCAAGTAGTACCTACAGTAGTAGCCTCCCTCATGTCGTCAAATTATCCCAGCAATCATCAGTAGAAACCCATGCCACAACCAGACACCTTAAGCGCTTCTGTCACCATGCACGTGAGAGGCAAAGCTTCTTGTAAGAAAAAGCAGAAATTTACGGGCAAAAGCACTAGTTATCCATTACAGTAGGAGAAGCCGCTTTGCCTTGCCGAGATCAGACTAGAATGATACTATGGCAATGCATAGGTACTCTAGCTGGAATTTAAACATGGGAATGAATGCATATGAAGCATACGAGGTTCGTTCAAATCCGAATGTTGGCTTTTTTCTGCACAATGAGTGTGGTAAGTTTGCAGGTTTGGTTGACACCGTAGCTCATCTGAGCCGCCCCCTAGACTTGGGGGAGCATTACACCTACGTCACAGGCTGCTCGAAAAGTTTCTACCGGCTACCAATGTTTAGGGGGGATTTTTAACTTACCCTACCTACATGTGGTGGTCGGGTTAGTAGTTTTAAAAGATTTTATAATTAACGAAATATATTAACAAGACTTTCTTGACTTCCTGCATTACAATTGAAAAACATACCTCAATCAGGTGGGCATGAGCCCGGTTTGCTTGCAAGGTATCTGTAAATCCTGGATTAGTACCTAGACCGGAAGTTTTCGAAGCGAGCGACGTTGAACTGGCAGGTACATGGGGGGCTAGGTGAGAGTACATCATTTCGGTTTACGAGGTACATTAGATTATCTGATTAGATCCGGGATCAGAAGATCGGCGAGCCCTTTTAGCACTTGTTAATACTGAAAAAATAAACGCAAACTGCAGTTGTCGCAGGACTTGAAAATTTTCGACGAGCATGAACGGGAATTAATCAATGCGCAGGCACATAGCAGAGAAAATAGCAGCTATATTGTCTCACACAGAATAAGAGAATATTTAAACACCAGAACAGAATTAACGTCAAGATCTAATATTTAAAAACATCCATTTAGGGTAGGTAGTAAGCTTTGGGCTTTCAGTCGATGAATGATGAGTGCATTGACCAATTGCGACGAGCAGTAGCCTCGGGGAGCAAGAAAACATAAGACTTTAGAAGAGAGTGCTAAAATAAACTTGGTAAAGAGTGCCCAAGCTTAGGCT